GTGTGCAGGATAATTGGATCCTGTGCCTGGTACCGACCACATGGTCCCCAGAGCAAAGAATGAGCAACCCCCGGGCACAGACTTGGGAGGAGCCCTTGAGCACAGCAGGGTGTGATTCCCAAGCCTACCCATAGCCCCCAAAATGTTCCCAGAGGGTCAGCAAATGGCTAGCTCTCGTTCTTTTGACCTTCCCAGATCCTCCAGATGAGACTTACTACTCCCTTTGGCTCATGTGACATCATTACATGAGAACCCATCAAATTTGAGGTGAAGAATTAGGAATCTTCATATATTTAAAGGCTCCCTCCAAATAAAGGATGTTTGGAGGATCCTCCCAGGAGGGGAGATGCATGTCGAAAGTAGACTATGGACTGAACGTGTTTGCCACTCAATGCCTCTTTTGCAGACCACAACACCCAAAAGGAGAGAGAGAACACAGGGGATTGCCCTGCCACAGAGACGGGGGGATGGGGGGATGGGGGTGGGAGGGATATTGTCCATGGTGGTGGAAAATGGGCACTGGTGGAGGGATGGGTATCTGATCATTGTATAATTGAAACCAAAGCACAAAAATTGTAAATCTACAACTTTAAAAAAAATAAAATAAAATAAAGGGAAAAAAATAGAAAAAAAAAGGCTCCCTTTGCTCCCCCAAATGAAGAAACCCCAATTTCCCTTAAGGTTTTACTTCAATTTTTACAATACTACCAAAATTCCTCCTTTTTATTCCCTAGGTAGATTAACAGTTTATATCCTAGGTATCATGCCCTCTCTCATGGTTTCACTCATTATCAATATTGAATTACTACAATTATATTTTTCAAATGAATTTAAGATTGAAATATTTTTGTTTATAAAAGTAATGCAAATTTAAAGAAACTATTGTATACCTTTACAATTCTAAAAAATATATTAGTGGGTCCTCCCCTTTCCCCATAACTGCAAGATTCAACATCTGCTGGATGAATTTTCATTAAATGTAGAGGATATGTTTTAGGTTTAAAGTACAAGCTACAGCATGCCTGGAATTAAGACTGGGGACTCCTGGGCCATCATGCTCCTGAGCTGTGGGCTGTGAGTTACAGTCAGAGACCCACATGGCATTGATGTGGGAAGACTTGCCAAACATTAAGAAGCTGAAGAGAGATTCACACATAAGCTCCAAATCCAAAATCTTGGGAAGAGTGCTCCAAAGTGCAGGTCCAATTGCACCTCTCATGGTATAATAAAATAATTGAAGCTTTTGACAATGCTGCTTCTATCCTTAACCTCCCTGAAAACTTAGAGGGTTCTGGTTATTAAAGCTGAAATGGACTGAGTTGAGAACTGTAGTTTAGATGGTGCGACAATCTCTGACCTCTCCTCCCCCATTCTTTTGACTCTGATTGGGCCAGGACAGAACATTGAGAACACAACTATATGGATGAGGATCCCATGTCCCTGGTCAGACAATGCCTGCCAGTCCAGGGAGACTGCTCAGTAGGGCCCTCTTGGACCTCCAGTCCCCTTCATCTTTATCAGCGTTTTTTAATAAAACGCATTCTATGATGCTTCTCTGCCATTTTCTGTGCATATAAGGGTACATCTATTAAATTTTGCTCTACTGCACATGCTCACCTTTCCCCACTCATGATATATGCATGAGTTTGTTCAAAAATACTGTTTCTTTTTCTTATTTCTTTTATTGATATTTATGGTGACACCTGGCTATCCTCAGGGATTACTCTTGGCTCTGCACTCATTGGCAGTACTTTGGCGATCACATGGGATGCCAGGGATCAAATTCTGGTCTTCAGTGAGCAAGGCAAGCACCTTAAATGCTGGGATATCTCTCAGGTCCCTGTACTGTCTGATTTATCATCCTAGTTCTGCTGCCATAAAATCATACCCTAATCTTTTCCTTTGAAGCTTGCTCTATAGCCTGTGCTGTTACCCATGTTGCTTCCAAACTTTTGTTTTTGTGCCAATGATGTTCTCCCTCCCCATTTTTTTTCTTCTTGGGTCATACCTGGCTATGCTCAAGGGTTACTCCTGGTGGTGCTCAGAGGACCATATGGGATGCCAGGGATGGAACCCAGGTCGGCTGCAAGCAAGGCAAACACTATCCCTCCTGGACAATTGCTCTGGCCCTAATGCCTTTTTTTTTATTATTCAGTTGTTCCTGTACTATTTGGAAGCCATGGATATTACATGTAACTGCAAGCACCCCAGAAGGGCCTGGTGACCAAGGCTACCAGGTTCGAGCCATACAGTTGAATACAGTGTCTTGGAAACCTTGTTTTGTTTCTAGTCTCTCTAAGTCAGGACCAGGTGCCAGAGTATGACAGAAACTGTGGTTTCTAATAAGAAAGTGGACATGTGGCGAGGAGAGAGGCCTCTGACCACAGCATGGGAGATGGACCACAGGGACTGCTGGCATAGCTTAGTAGTAGAGCGCTTGCCTGTAATTTACCTTGCCCCCTTAGAGTAAGTGGTAGCAGGAATTGTTCTATTTGAATGCATGGGTCAGCATGTAACTAACCAAAACAGTAACACTGATAAGGCATGTGGGGAGTGTTTGCTTTGTGTAAGGTTGGTAGCAGGTACACAGCATGTGTTCATTGAATCCTTTCAACAACTATCTGATGTACTTGAGTATCTCCTTTTTAAGAAGAAGGAACTGAAAATTTCCAGAAGTTAAACAACTTATTCCAGGGTAAAAAGCAGGTTCAACCTTCAAATCCAAGAGCAGCCTGAATACAAAATTCTATTCCTGCTGATATCTAACGTCAATCCTTTTATGTTTTGTGCCAGGGATAGTCCCATGCATGAAAGGTGTGTGTCTTGCAGTGAATCATATACCCAGCCCTCAAGGGTTTTCTGACCTTTCTTTCCCTAAATTTTTATTTTGCAGGTTCAGTGATTGTACCCAGGGTCTCACAGACAGCAGGCAAGTGCTCGACTACTAAGTTATGCTGGGAGTCCCTCTAGCTCATCTCCCATGCTGTGGTCAGTGGCCTCTCTCCTTGCCACATGTCCACTTTCTTATTAGAAATCAGTTTCTGTTGTACCCTGGCACCTGGTCCTGGCATAGAGCGACTAGAAACAAAACAAGGTGTTCAAGACACTGTGTTCGACTCTATGGCTGGAACCTAGTAGTCTCGGTCACCAGGCCCTTCAGGGGTGCTTGCAGTTATCTGATACACCCCATATTTTATGACACCCAAACTTCTCATAAAGCTCAGGCCATATTAGTTCTCAGCCTCTTCGCCTGGTGTTCTCACTTCCACCTCTCCACCTTCTGTCCCGCTACTCCTCGAGCCAAGGGGCCCTTCAGCCCTGCTGTCATATCTCCCCACTTGCTCAGAGGCAAATAGTACCCTGTGCTCCTCCCATCTAGACCTGGTTGTTTCTTTTCTTATGGCTGCCCTGTCCACTTCTGCATAGCAAATATGTTTAGTATTAATCCTCTGAACATATCTACAGTCCCCAAGGCTGCAAAGTTGGGCACACGCTGAACAAACACCTATTGTGCTTGCTGAGTTATTCTCTTATTCCCTTATATTCCAGACCTTACACTAGTTACTGAAGATTCTAAAGTTAACAAATTCATGCTGAGGACTTTTTCTTCTGGAATCTAAGTGAGGCAGAATATTCTCTTCCCTTTCTCTGTCAGGTGTACTCCTCCATAGGGTAACTCTGGAAACACACTGCCTGGAGTCCAGTTCGGCTTCTTATAGTCCGTGTGACTTTAGCCCAGTTAGTTAACCCCTGTGTGTCTCACTTTCATATGCACTGAGAAACGTTAGTAAGATTTTTATTAAGTGTCATGCAAATAAGTTAATACCAACACATGTATAATATTTAGGACAGCAACTATAATAATTATGATTTATTATAAGATCCATATTTATTATGTACATATAATTGATCTTTGACCGATCCCTCCCAAACCCTGGGAACTTTCTAAGCGATGAGAGAGAGAAAAAGGTGTCTTTGTTATGTTAATGAGACAGCTTATGAAAATTACCTGAGGTGGGGGCTGGTTGCCAGGGGAACCAATTTGATTAGAGGGTTGGAAATTTCAGTCCCACCCCCGACCTCCAGGGAGGGAAGAGACGCTAAAGATTGAGCACAATGGCCAATGGCTAATGATTTAATCAATTATACCTACATACTTACATAATTACAGTCTCCATGAGCTCCCCCTAGCCCTCCACCCAAAGACTGGCTCAAAGAGCTTCCTGTGGTGAGCATGTGGAGATTTCAGAGACAGATGAAAGCCCCAAGTCCTTTCTCTAAGCATGTCTAGTCTGAAAGTGTTCAGAAGCACAGGTGAAAACCTGGATCTGTGATTGGCATGTGAAGGGGGCGAGAAAGAGAGTAAAAATGTGTCCCTAACTTGTGGGATCTGATGCTATCTCCAGAATTTAGTTGAATTATGGGATACCAGCTGGTATTTCAGAATTGCTTAGTGATGTGCAATTCCCTCCTAGCACCCTCTCGCTCTCCTCCGCCATGTCTGAGAGTTGGGTGTCACTGTAAATATTTATTATTTGTTAATTATTACTATTACTTCTTTTAGACAATCAAATATCCAGATGGCAAGAATGTACTTCCTTTGAATGCATTCAAATCACCACTACTAGGAAGCAAACTTATTAAGTGTTAGAACAAAGGTTTTTGTTCTTTTGTGTTTGCTATACTGGTATCACACTTTTCACAGTGTGAGCAAAGAATAAATGCTCTTCACTGACAGCACCTGCGGAGGAGGCATCTGCTTAGAGGTCAGAGTGCATCTCAGTTCCCCAAGCAAAACTATTCACCCAATGTCATTCCCATATCTGTTGGCATTACCATATTTTCTAAAGGAGAGCAAGATGTTTGCTCAATGCCCTTTACTGTTCATACAACAAAACAAAACAAAAATGACACCCCAAACCAGTTTGCTTTTGATTTCTTAAGAGACAAGTCCCAAGGTTAATACATTCCCTGCCTCAAAAGGAAATGACAAGACTCACCTTGATTTTTCAATGGTAAAGGCATAGTTTCCCTGAGTTTACTTAAAAGGTTTTTCATTTCTCGCATGTCTCTGAAAGATTGATAAAAAAGAGGAAATAATCAGCTGTAAGTTTTTGAAATGAAATCTCAACAATCTGTTCTGTGACAACTGAAAGAAGAGAGTCTATGGCTAATTGTACCAGTCTAGCTTCCAGCAGCAAACATTAAATTAATTCTGCTTTTGCAAGGGGAAAAGCTGAGATGGGCCAATGGTGAAGGAATGGGAACTACTCTGGCAAAACTTTTCGCAGGGCATTTTGCTGCAGAATTTTTTCTCTTCATCTGGTTGGATCTGACTGAGATCACAGAAGAACCTCTTGTAAGGAGGACAGTACTTCAGCCTTCCCAGGGGAGATAAAAGCTGTAGAATTCAGTATCTGGGTTACTCTTGGTAAAGTGGATGCTCAGTAGTGGTGCTCACAAAGCATTCTGTTCCAATGGCTGCCGTGGTTATGTAGATCCATGCACTATTGTCTACTTGTTTTTTAAAGTTTTTTTGAAATGCTCATGATTAGAATTCAGTGTAATACGTGCTAAGTGTTCACAACGCTAACACCAATTGAGTTGACTAGGAATGATAGGAGATTCTGACAAATTCTAAAATCTTCACAGAGGAGCTTCTGACAATGGATCTGATAAACAGAGGGATGCTTGGGATCATGCCCTTTCTGTAGCTCTGGCATGAATGCACACCACTCATTCCTCCAACATTCTCCCTCCTCTCTGAGAACATGTGATTGGAAAGCCATAGAACTGCATGTAGAGTCAGAGGCCAACTCAGGGGGCTTCCAGGCTGGGGTGAGGGGCCAACCGGACTTTTCAAATTTCTGGAACATTGGTCCTCCACACACCAAATGGTCACCCCCTAGAGTCAGTGCTTTTGAAATCCCAGGACACAGAGGTAGATTTCATTTTTCAGGGGGAAAGGTGGCTGGGCCACATCTGGCAGTGCTTATGGATAACTCCTGAAGGTTCTTGGGGGACCATATGCAATGCTAAGATTCAAACATGGGTCAGTCACGTGCAAGGCAACTGCCTTAACTCCTCTATATTGCCTGCCCCAGTAGATTTTAGTTTGAGAAGCAAAAATCAGATATACCTTTTAGCTTTAGGATGGGAGGCATATAAACTTTAACTTAAAGAAATGTTATCTACCATTTGAGGAAAGAGACATACCATTTAATTGAGGTATTTAGCACCATTTAATGAACAAAACACAACTCTTCAGTTGGGTATGATGTGAAGACACTCGTATTAGTGGAGACTGTAAACTTCTTTATAGCGTTTCCTCCTCAAATACTGAGTAATAAGTGAGAAAGAACTCTCTCAGGAATAGCTAACAGACTAGAAAAGAAGGATGACAGCCTGTGGATCTCTTGAAATCACCTGTAAACACATTCAAAACACTCATCCAGAGAGGTGAGGGTATGTCTGTGGAACCTTGGTGTGTTATATGCCAAAGGATATTTATTTCGAGAGAGAGAGAGGTATTTCTAGGTACATGATGGCGGGGGGGGGGGGCGGGGGGGAGGGAAAAGGGGGAGGAGAACTGGGCAAGGCTCACATTTGTTTTCATACAAAATTCTCCAGGCCAGATGGGGTGAGGGACAGTAGGAAGGTATAAAATGGGGGAAGGGATAGGAATTCAATACCTGTGATTATAGCAAATCTCCCTGGAAAGCACCAGCTCTCATTCTTGGCCGTTGCACTGACGATTCACTTTATCTCCATGACCCACCCAGGACAGCATGATTTTGTTGTTTTATGGTAGGGCCCAGGCATCAATGTTTCTACAAAGCCTGCCCTGTGATTTAAATATGCAATTCATTTTTGAAACTTATGATCTTGGGGCAGAGAGACAGGGAGGACAGTGGAAGTTGCCCTCCCAGACCTAGGGTGCCTAATTCTATCCTTCATTCCCACTTCCTCTGACCTTGATCTGGAATTTCAGCCTGAAACAAAACACTGCCAACACAGTGAGCTATTCTCTCAAGTTCTTGTTGCCAGCCATATCTTGCTTTCTTACAAGTCTCGGAGGCTTGGCAGTAGCTGCTGTGCAAGGTTTCTGAAAAGGAACATGATTTTGCTGGTGGATTATTCTCTAACCATGGTTTCCTGGCAGATATTTCTCCCTGGGAATAGGGCAAAGCATTTTCTATTTCATAAATTATGATAAACGACTCTCATCATGTGTCTATCGTTCTATCAATCTGGGCCAAACAGCTTTATTGCTTGGATTGCTGGGTTTCAAAGCTTATGCAAAATCCAAGTTTTATTAATAGCACATAATTACCACATGCTTCAATTTGCTATAAACACAGAAATTTGGTAATTAGCTTTAGAGTTATATTACAATCTGAAAGTAGAACCATAATGGCTACAAATGCCATTGTGTGTTACATTTCTAAAAATAAAAAATAAAATGCTCATTATCTTGTCAATGACTCAACTCCACATACCCAGAGCATTCAGTGGACTTGCCCAGTATTCACTCAATTGCTTTGATCCCAGCACTAGGGACATGTAGCACAGGAGAGGGTCTCAATAGAGAAGGACATCTTCACTGAGAGGCATTTCTGAGCCTCTAGAACAGAACCTATGCTACTGTTGACCTCTTCTTCTCATAGGAAATAGAATCAAAGTGGAACCTTTCTCAACCTAAACCACCCCAAAGGCATGAAGTACTTTGATGCAAAAGAACCTTCTCAGAAACCCAGAAAATCTTGCCATGCAAAATTCTAGGCCTGGTTCAAGATTGCTTCCAGAGAGCAGAGGTGTCTGGACCTCTGGAAGAAGAAGAGTCACCTCAGGAACAAAGGCAATGTGAAGAATATCAAAAGAACCTTTAACTGTACTAAGCTCTCCTCCTTGGCAACCACCCTAACAACAGACTGAGAATGGAGGCAGCTTCAGAAAACTGTATATAAACTAACTTGGCAGAGCACGAAGTGCACATGTCACCCACATCTCGCCTCTTGAGATGTGTACTTTCATATTTTATTTTTCATACCCTGCTTGGAATGGGCACTTCACTCTTTCTACTCTGGAGAAGCCCGTGTTCTCTCTTAAGTACATATTTTAATTTACCTGTCTCCTTCCTTCCTTTTATTTCAGCAATAAAGTTGTTTTACTATTTTTTTTTAAAAAGGGGGAAAAAATCTCTTCCCTAGGATAAAACTCCCTTGGGTGAGTTCCACTTGTTAAGACAAATGCATTAACTCATTTTGTCCACTAAGGGGCTGTCATGTTGGGAGAAAGAGAATGGAGCCTGAGAACAGTTGCTCGGGAACAGGACAGAATGCTCAGCCCCTGACAGACAGCTCAGGGACCCATGTGATACACCTGAAATTTCAGAATCTCACGGAGGCATCTTCCCTTCATTTTTGAATTCTTCTCCCTTAACCGATAGATATTTTAGGGACCAGCCCAGTGGGAGGACTGTGCCAGAATAAGATCCAACTTCGTCTCTGCCCAGGGAAGCACACGGTCTTCATTTCCATGGAGATACAGTGAAATGGAGTGGGCTAAACCAAGGCTTGGGAGGCTGCTTTTTGTAGAGGTTCTGCTCTGGTTTCTACACAGAATTTAGACTTTTCCCTCTCTCATCTCAATTTTCTGAGAAGCTCTGTTTCTGATTCTAAAGGGAAAATATCTTACCTTTCTGTAGCCCCTAACTGGAGGAGGACTGACAGTCTATTTAGAGTAACTACCCACTTACCTTTCAGTGTTCTCAATGTCTGTGGAAACTTGCCAGGAATGTTGCTGAGTATCTACGGGGGACGCTGCCGAGTCCTCTACAGCAGGTGTTTCAGCGTTCTCCTCAATTTTGCAATCCATGTTCTTGGTTCCCCCGCCAGACTCCTTTCCTAAGGGAGGATTGGTGTTGGTGAAAAGAGAGAAAAAAATCATAAACAAAAATTCTATATCCAAGATGTCATTGCAAAGGTTGGCTCTGCTTTGAGTCAAAAGCCCTATTAATCTAATGACTTTCCAGGTACTAAAATAATTATATATTTAGAAAACCTCAGAATAAATGAACAGCTGACAAGAGAATTTTAGGATAAATTTAAGAGGAACAACATAAGGATCTTTTGGGTCTCAGAGGGCCAGGAAGGCAACCCTGATGAAGAAGCAACAAAGACTTCATTGCTGAGAAGTTTCCAGAGCTGGAGAGGGCAAGGACCCAGATCGAGGAGGTCTGAAGGCTACCAACTAAAAGAAATTCAAATAAAAATACACCTGACACATCCTAATCAGAATGACAAAAATCATAAGTAGAGATAGAATACTGAAAGCAGCAAGATCAAAGAAGGAAATTACATACAATGAAGTGTGCTTAAGATTTACAGCTGATTTACCCGATGAATCCCTCTGAGCTTGAAGAGAGAAGTGGGATATAGTACAAAAGCTTACTGAAATGAATATCTCCCTGAGAATACTTCCACTAGCCAGACTCTCATTCAGATTTGAAGGAATGATACACAATATTATAGATAAAATAATTATAAAATGTCAATATGTGCACAAACATGTCAGTTCATGTGTGTGTGTGTGTGTGTGCGTGTGTGTGTGTGTGTGTAGCATGTTTTCACAACACCCTGAAGAAAATAACTTAGGTCAATCAACCTGAAGATCAAGATAATGGATTCGGTATCTGAACCTATGTTTTATTTTGGTCCTTAGATGTAGGGGATTATAAGAGGGGCAGAAGCAGATAACTGTACCAGAAGAAGAATGAATGAGAAATACAGGAAATTCTCTCTGATTCTAGCTCTTACTTTGTGAGGCCCTCCCGTTGATCGTCGATTTGCTCGAGCGGGCCCAGTAACGTCTCCATTGGAGACTTTGTTGTTACTGTGTCTGGCATATCGAATACTCTCGGTAGCTTGCCGGGCTCTCCGAGAGGGGCGGAGGAATCGAACTCGGCTTGGCCATGTTGGTCGCTTGTAAGGCGAGAGGCATAGAAATTCTGGACCTGCCTTCCTCTTCTTTAGCTCTCCAATATCCTTCAGTGCATTCTATTACACAAAAATCCAGCTTTAAAATACAGTGTTACTCTGCTGGCACCATGAAGTACCATTAACAAATATGCTGTCTACTGAGGAACCATTCAGCACAATGTACTGCCATCCACTAAAGGCCCTCCCGTTGTTCATCGATTTGCTCGAGCGGGCCCAGTAATATCTCCATTGGAGATTTTTGTTGTTACTGTGTTTGGCATATTGAATACACCACGGGTGGCTTGCCAGGCTCTGCCGTGCGGGTGAGATACTCTCGGTAGCTTGCCGGGCTCTCCGAGAGGGGCGGAGGAATCGAACTCGGGTTGGCCATGTTGGCTGCGTGCAAGGTAAACATCCTACCGCTGTGCTATCGCTCCAGCCCTAAGGCTTGAGATATTTAAAATATCTCAGCTCTAGAATTTATCTTTTTTAAACCTTTTTTTTTTTGGAGGTCATGTCTGCTGTGCTCACAAAACACTGGGACCACACCTGGTAGATTCTGGGGGACCATGTGGTGCCAGAAATTGAACTCATGGTTTCAGACATGCAAGTTATATGCTCTCCCAGTTGAGTCATTTTCCTAGCCCTCATCCTGATAATTTATAATCTTTATATATAGAAGTAAAACAAAGAGAAAAATAAATTAAACAGTAAATCAACTGTATATTTTTTTAATCAACCTAGAACTGGAATGGATCTCTGAACATTCATCCAAAGTACAAACACAAGCCTACTGATGAGAACTCGATCTGTTTGTATGTACTTTACGTAAATGGATTCTAGGTAATGGAATTACTTTTTCCAATTTTATGGTATAAAATTTCTATTGTTGAGTGAAAATTAATTAGGCACACATTTTAGCATATTCCATCTCATAGTTGGAGGGCACAGGTCTTTTAAAAATATTCACATCACATCAACACATAGCAAATGCAGTCCATTTTCCATTCACCACTAAGGATTAGCTTGGGGATTGCCTTGCAAGTGTGAGCAAGTGGGGCAGGAGCTCCAAAGAAGGGGCCAAAAAGGAACTTCCTTCCCACCAATGCAGCCTTCTGCTTTTTAAATATCTGAAGGACAAGGCCATCTGAAATCACACAGACTCCTATTTTACTCTTACAGGGTCAAACAACTTTAAAGACTAGAGTAGGGAGTATGGTTTGACCAGAAAAGTATTAAGAACAGAGTTCCCCCTACACAGATGGACTCTACTTGTTATGGGCTTTGTCTGCCTTGCACAGATGTAGATGGGACTCCAGCGGTCCAAGTTTACATTCCAGCTGGAACCAGAAGGACACTTAGTAGTTTTAAAATGTACAGTTCTTAGAGTGGGAGAGATATTGAAGGGGTTTTGTGTTTGTTTTGCCCCACATATGACCCCAGTTCAATCCTATAGTCCCCTGAGCACCGCCAGGAATGATACCTGAGTATAGAGACAGAAGTAAGCCATGAGCTTACTGGGTGTGCCCCCACCCCCATACAACTGTTCAGCTCTTTAAGTCATCTGTAATTTATTTTAATGGATGCTGTGATGTAAGGACGGAAATTTCTAGCTCAAATAAGAGTCAACTGCCCTAACTCCATTTGTTGATTTTTCTATTGATCATACAGCTTTTTCTAATATGTTGAGTTCCAGTACAACTGTGGTTAAGTTTCTGGATACACTAAGTGATTTCCTATTATTTGTTTATCTCTGTGCCAATTCCATGAGATTTTAATTATTTAGGTTTTAATATTTGGTAGCAAAAGTTCTTCATCATTGTTCTTTTACAAAAATGTCTGAATTTACTGCAAATGAAATTATAAGTTACTACCATCTGGGATTTGGGTCTTTAGTGAAGGATGAGTCATTGATTACTCTGTCAGTATCTTCTAGGTTTAATGGTCTATTTGAAATTTTTGTCCTTGTTGAGTTAATTTTGATAATTCTCTTGTCCTAGAAAACCATCCACTAAATATATTTTTAATAATATAAAGTTGAATATGGTTTTCTCTTGTAACTGTTTCATATTCTTTTTGTGGGGGAAGGAGTTCCTAAGTGGTACCAGAGGGCCCTGGTCTACTCCTGAAAATTCTCATCAACTGAACTTTGATTCAATGTAAAGGTCTAAGACTGCAAAGCTACTTTGCCCTAAGGTGCCTGAGGTCACTCCAGAAGTGCCTGGGTCCTCCAAGTCCACACCTGGTGATGCTGATGCTCGTGAGACAAAGTGGTGTTGAAGATCTAACCAGGGTTGGCCCATGCAAGGCATAAACCTTGAACCTTACCTTTCTGGCTTTTGTATTATATTAGTATATTCTTAGTGCTATATATATTTGGGGTGTGGGGGCATACCTGTCAGTGGTCAAGGGACCGGATGGGGTGGAAGGGTTAGAAATGGGATTGGCCTTGTGCAAGACAAAAGCCTTAACCTACCTCTGTGCTATCTTTCCAGCCCTTTGGTGCTATATATTTGTATTTCTTAATATCTTCATTTAGCACTGTTTCTTAGATTCTATGTCTTCCTCTTTCTTGAATTCAGTTCTCATTTTGTTTGATTGACTTTTTTACTATTTCTAGAAGGTCTGCGGAATATGAAATTTCTTGTGACTGAAAATACCTTTCCTTTTCTCTGTGGTCACATTTAAATTCCAGCTGAATGAATATAGGAATCATGTGCATACTAAGTTTCTATCAAAACTTGAGTGATGCTGTTGCCTTATCTTCTATTTATAGCCAGGGATGCTTTGCACGTAGCCTCTTTTGTGTATCTGAAAAAATTTAAGGATACTATATTTAGATTCCTTTTTTGGTTTGTTTCCAGACCTCACCCTGTGGTGCTGGGGGATTTACTCACCGTGGGGTGCTTGAGGGTTGCTTTCTGTTGCTCAGAGACCCATGTAAGGCTGAGGCTGAACCTGGGGCTCCTACATGCAAAGTTTTCACTTCAGCCATTTGTGCTATCACCCCCCCCCCACATACACACCATATTTAGACTTCTGAGTTAGAAATTGGCTCCTAAGTATATCTAAATAAGGGTTCTCTTTATAGATTTTTTTTTTGCATTTGACTGACATTTGCAAGCTATTTTTTCCAATTTATTATTTTGAAATTTGCAAACTTAAACGATTATGCAATGGATACTAAAGTATCCAATTTTTTACCAATTGTAGATAGTTAGCCATATATATGTCATTTTCTTTCCATAAGTATGTTTCATATGTGTATTATATATACTTTTGGTAAACCATTTAAGACTAAATAGCATGTATTAAATATAATTTAATATAACTTAATATAATACTATTATTGAATATATAACCTATATTTAAATTTCTCCAGTTGTTTCAATTCTGTCCTCTATAGTGTTTTTCTCTTTTATTAAGAAATTCAGTTTAACCAATAAGAGAGAGAGAACAAAAGGGAATTCCCTGCCACAGAGGCAGGGTGGGATGGGGGGGATGGGGGTGGGAGGGATTCTGGGATCCATGGTGGTGGGAAATGGGCACTGGTGGAGGGATGGGTATTTGATCATTGTATAATTGAAACCCAAGAACAAAAATTTGTAAGTCTGCAACTGTACCTCATGATGTTTCACTAATAAAAAAAATACAAGAAATGTGCTTCAGTGAAAGTGCAGAAAAGCATGTGAGAGAATTAATATTATCACTTAAGACATCACTCTAATAAAGTATTCATTGTATTCTATTTTCATTTCATTTCATTTCATCATCCTGTTATTCGTCGATTGCCTCGAGCAGGCCCCAGTAACGTCTCTTTCATCCTTGCCCTGAGATTATACTCAAGGCTCTTTAGGAGAATGAGACCCATCATTGTTACTGGTATTTGGCATATTTGGTACGACACGGGGAGTTTGCCAGACTCT